CTCTTTATTGAATACAACAAGTGAGAACAATCCAGCGAAGGTTGAGTGTGACAGCAGCCCTTTTATAGGGAGCTGTCAGGCCCTTCGACCAATAGGATTAAACCTCTGTTCCCGCCGGAACAGAGGACCTTGGTAGAAACCACTGTAGTTAGAACTGATATCTGACACCTTGTCACTTTTTTTTGGAGAGCAACATATTTAAAACAGAAGTTTCCCATTGACAAAAGCAATGAGAGACAGCAAGATTTCATGCAGTTGTCCCTCCTGATCACAATGTGACTTAATTAGCAGGAGATTCATTTTGAACCAAATTGGAACAGGCTTTTCTTCTACCGATCCCTCCTGCTTCTTTGAAGTCAGACAACTGGTCCTTTTCCAACTTGATTGTTTAGCATTTTAATGTTATTTCAGATTTTGCTTTTATTCATTTATTTTTGTTTATGTTCCTTTGTGGCCTGAATTTTCTCTTTTACTTTTTTGATAATGCCTCCCTCAACATCACTCTGGTATGATACCTCAACTTGAATTGTAAATTTAAACAACCAGGATTAGATCATGGTATCAGATTAGCACTCAAGATCAGATATTACAACCATCACCACCACAACCTGTGGATGGTAGGTACATGTCCATGTACACTATTTATATTATGAATGTAAGTTGCATTCATGGTTTTAACTGGATTTACATATAGTACTATCTGTTGAAGGTTTGCATGAATATATTTTATGAAGTCTGATACTCTGGTTCCTAAGTAATTTAAATAATCTAAATAATAGCAGCAATGACACTTAGACTTATATACCCTTCACAGTGCTTCATAGCCCTAGCTAAGCAGTTCTACAGAGTCAGCATATTGCCCCCAATAATCTGGGTCCTCATTTTACTGAGCTCAGAATAATGGAAGGCTGAGTCAACCTTGAGCCGGTCAGAATCGAATTCCTGGCAGTGAACAGTCAGTTAGCTTGCAATACTGCATTCTAATCACTGTGTCACCACAGCTCTTAAATAACATGGGATATTATGTCTATCAAGTGAGTGTGGTATGCTGGACAAACCATACTTAGCACTTATAGCAATAGCACTTAGATATCACTTCACAGTGCTTTCCAGCCTTCTCTGAGCGGTTTACAGTGTCAGCATATTGGCCCCAACAATCTGGGCCCTCATTTTACCCACCTCAGAAGGATGGAAAGCTGAGTCAACCTTGAATCTTGTGAGATTCGAACTGCCAAATTGCAGGCAATCAGCAGTCAGTAGCAATAGCCTGCAGTACTGCATTCTAATTATTGCACCACCAGGGCTCACTTAATGCATTTGTGAATTTGCAGAATTTATGAATTAGGTAATCTGAGAAGTGTACAAGTTTTTTAGGAGGCTGAAAATAACCATGCTTTACTTTTCATATTATAACCTTGTTGCAATACTGTTAAGTTGAGATCAGGCCCATAAAATTGTTATTGTATCACCAAATGTGCATTGCATTATTTTTCTCTCCTGCAGTTTTTTTTTAAAGCAAAATGAAAAGTATTGGGTATCTATGGATCTCCAGCATCCTCTTGCCATGGTCTGCGGTATCTGGACATCCTTGTAACATTGATAAAATGGTAAGCAAGGAGTAATTTCTACAAATTGTAGACTAATTAAATGTTCTCAATGGGAGGATCTTAGACCGTGAGAAAGCCTCCAGCCTATTTGGTTAAATACTGGTTTTGTAGATAAACTTTAAATTTACATAATTACCAATCAAGATGATATGAACAGATCTCTATCTTCCTCAAATCTTGGCTATTTAGATTTCTTTAAATCTAGCCATCAGATGAGGTGTCCTGAAGCACACTCTCTCAAGACTGCACAAGCGGATGGCTGATAACTAGTACATCAAGTCTTCTTTCAAGAAAACTGGATCCTAAACAAGCACTGGCATCCTTGAAAAAGTTTATTGCTCCAACCTGGGATGATCATGTGTAACAAGGAATGGTGAAAGCGAAGAGAGCTAAAGGGTGGTGTGTAATTAACACATATTTTCCCCACATATAAGTTCAGTGTAAAAGGTGCAAGTAACACAAGATATCATCTTTGACAAGCACCATTAAAAAGAGAGGCTTGTCTTTTTTTTCTTTTTTTTTGTGGGAGTGGGGAGGAATAGAAGGGCTGGGTTTTTTTCAGGATAGCCTTTTCAGTGGATACAGTGATTGCTTCCAGTTGTTTCCAAATGTTGCACAATTCAAAGGGAATGATAAGTTCGGTTCAATTGTTTATTTCAATACTGAATTTTACATTATTAACATCTGTGCAAGGAACATCTTCATATCATAGCTATAATACATTCTGATTTTGGTTTGTTTGCTATTAGCCAAACATTGATATTTATTTGGGATGAATTGGTCAAATCAGAACTTGCCCACAATATTGTGGGATATTTGAACAGCTTTGATGTCTTTTAGTTTTCAAAGTATTTTTCCACAGAGCTGTGTTTAAGTGCTATTTACGCATCCTTGAATTAGTAGAATGGATGTGAAGTGGGTCTGATTGTAGTCTCTTGAAAACTAATGAGGGCAGCTCCTTACTTAAGGTAGGAAAACACACTATGTACACAGAAGGGATAAATAGGACCAAGACTGTGTCAGGCATAGATTGGAAATGAGAGGAAGGCAATATCACAGGGACATGGTAGAAAAAAAAGTGAAGGATGGGGGGAAGTGTTACAAAATAAGTGTTGCCCAATCAGTGTGAAAGTACTGTACTAAGAAATTGAAAGTATTTAATTTTTTATTACAACATTTCTCAAAAAAGAAAAGGTTTCTAAAAACTTTTATTTTTTTTAAAACCAGTAACATCAAAAGCCACTTGTGAGGTAATCTGGCAAATAATCCAAATTTTATTTTAAACTCTGTTTTTAATTTTTCATAAAAGAATAAAACCTACCTTTCTATGTGATGTCACTCAATGATTCTTGTGGGAAGAAAAATTTCCAAGTTACTTTGAAACATTAATTCCATTGAATTCCTTAATTTTTCTAATAGAATCGAGGGAGGGGTTATGTGTGGGTTTTGTCACAGCCTGATTGGTCCATAGACTGAGGGAAATTTCTTTAATATTCCTCCTTTCCCATTGGCTCCGTTTCCTCTCAGTCTTTTGGTCCAAGCACTGCTTTGGCTCTTATGTAGGAAAATTATTATAAACCCATTATAATTAACTATTGATTCGATTGATTGGTTTCTCTAAATTCTAAATTATATCAGCTGCGGCCCCAAGGGCAGTCTTTTCTGCTTCACATGGCTTGGGAGAGCCCTTCGAGGCACCGCCCTCCTACTCCATGGGCCAGGAGCCCTGCTCTGATCCCCAGGCCAGCGGGGGTGATGGGCTTCGAAGCGCAGCTTCCGGGAGCTTGCTACAAGCCGCAAAATTTAAAAAGAAACTCTGCGGCTTTTTTTCCGATGCTGAGAGCCTCTTTGAAGTGCATGGAGATTCCCCAGTGCGCCGTCCTCCTTAGCTCAGATTGCTACTTTCTGCCGCACTGTCTCAAGTCAGCAGGGGGCCGTGGCATTTAAAGGATGAGCCGCGGCTCTTAAAAGGCAAGCCATGGCCACTCCAGATTTCTCGGCAGCGCAATCGGAGGCTCCGGTGGCCATTTTAAAGTGTGCCACGTGCAGAAGGCCGTTCGTGGAACCGCGTGGTCGCCCCCAGTCTCCTGCATTGCGGCCACTAATCGAGACCAGCAGGACATTGGCCTGAACATATATCCACAGCTCCTGCAGGCCCAGGCACCGGTGGAACCTACAGTGGCCTTTGATTCCAGACACGTGAGTGTTGCGATGTCAGCAAGATCTGAGCCTCCTCAAGCCCCTTTAGAGGCCTCTAACAAAGGCAGAGAAGACCAAACAGATAGGCCCAGAACCAGGGCCGCGGCCTCCAAGCCTATAGCAGCTCAGCACCCTTCCAGAGATGCAACAAGGGATGAACTTAGGAGGCAGAGGGCTCTGGAGAAGACCATAGCCAGGGCAGAAAAGCAGGCCCAGACCACCAGGCCCCCGTTTGGCCAGCAGATCCAGATCCCCCATCAGACCCTCATCCACCCATTCGGGATCTCCCCCTAGAGGTTTCAGCCCTTCTTCCCCTTCAGTCTCCCCTTCCAGATCCCATAGGTATTCCAAGCAACGAGTTTCCCTTTCCTCTTCTATCTCCCCCAGAGCTGTCGGGGGTGGGGATGCGGACCCCTTGGAGGGCCCTTCTAGGTCATACCACACCTCTGCAAGGTTAGCCCCCCAGGATCCACCATTGCCAGGCCCATCGCAGGAGGATCCTGAAGACCTAGATCTCCTGACTGAAAGCATTAAATGACTTATTTCAGTGGCCATTTCACGAGGCATTGCCAGCATGTCCCAGAGAGACAGGGCCCCTCACCCTGGCAGGGCCCCGGAGGTTCATAGGCCCCGGAGGTTCATAGGTTCATCTCAGGCCCCATCACACTCCATGGTCAGCAAAGGTTCCATTTGGGGGGAGGACAATCACTACGACATGGGCTTCTCAGAGGATGAGGATTCAGTTCCTCCAGATTCACCCGCCTTTCTGTGTCTCTTTCCACCAGCCATGTTTAAAACTCTGTTACACAAAGCCAGGAAAACCACTAAGATCGGAACCGGGGATCCCACGGTCCCTCAGCCTAGGGACCCCAATCTGGCTATGTTTTCTAACACCTCTATGAACAAGGAGGAGATTCCTGCTCCTGCCCCATTCCTTGAGGTAGTGAAGAACCAGTGGGCCCATCCTTCCATCTTTTCCAATCCAGGCAGCAACGATTGCTGCTTCTACAATGTAGAGCAGGCTTTTGCCTAGGCCCTGCAATTGCCAACAATCCATATCCCAGTAGTGGCTCTGGTTGTCTCCTCCTCTGTAGTCTCTGGGGATGCAGCTGATAAGATGAAGTTGGAGGACAAGTGTGTGGAACTTACCTTGCGTAAGAACTTTAACGCTTCAGCCTGGGCAATTAAATCGGCAGCGCCGGCTTCTTACTTTAACCGCACGACCGTTATGTGGTTCCACCAACTCCAGGACCATATTCCAATCCAGGATGAGCAGCTGCATCAAGACATAACTAAAATCATAGCCGCCTCTCAATTCTTGGCAGACGCAATCCTGGATGCCGTTAAATTTGCCTCCAGTGCTCTAGCCATGTCAGTAACCTCCCAACGCTTGTTGTGGTTGTGCAGTTGGCAGATGGACAATGGAATTTGGCGGCAGCTTCTTACACAAGTGCTAATCTTTTTGGGAAAGCCCTAGATTCTATCTTAATAGAAAATAAGGATAAGAAGAAGGTCCTTTCATCCAATGCCAAAAAGTCAGACTCTCACCCTGACCCCTATTGCAGGCACTCTTATAGGGCACCCAAGCACGATCACCAGCAGAGATACAACTCCTTTAGATCAGACAGACAGTTCCAACGCCCGTCTTACCAGGACCATAGCAGGTACCAGGGTCAGTCTAGGCGGCCCTTTCGCGTAGGAGGCGGCTGTCCCTTCCACAGGGGGAAATGACTCCAACCCGGATCTTCCCATAGGCGGCCGCCTGGCTCACTTTGCAGACCAGTGGGACCAGATCACCATGGACATCTGGGTTAGATCCACCATCAGACTTGGCTTGCAGCTGGAGTTCCTCTCCACCCTACCCCCCGAAGCTCTTCAGAACGTTCCCTCCCTCCCGGGACCCAGAACACCGCCGCCTAATGGATCTGGCTAAAAATTATCTTCTTGACATCCAGGTGGTGGAAGCTGTTCCACTGGCGCAATGCGGGTTGGGCCATTACGCCAACCTGTTCATGGTTCCGAAGAGCTCTGGGGGTTGGAGGGCAATTCTGGATCTCAAGCGCCTGAACCAATATCTAGTTTACAGGCACTTCAAAATGTCATCCCTCAGATGCATCCTCCAGGGGATCCGTCAGGGGGATTAATTGGCCTCGGTAGACCTAACAGAGGCCTACCTTCACATTCCAATTCTCCCAGCCCACTGCAGGTATTTGAGGTTCTCACACAGGGACCTCCACTATCAATACCGCGCCCTTCCCTTCGGCCTGGCCTCAGGTCCTCGTACCTTCACGAAGGTCCTCGCGGCATTGGCGGCTCACCTCCTCTCCACCCTGGTGAGACAACAATGTTACCTGGACGACGTGTTAGTTCAGGCAGGGTCACACTCCCAGGCAATCAGCAACTTTCACCTTACCATCCAGTGCTTCCAGTCCCTGGGGTTCTCCGTCAACTTCCCCAAAAGCCACCTTTCTCCATCCACACAAATATTACACCTAGGGACAGTAATAGATTCAGTGACAGGGATAGTCCAGCTCTCGCTGGATTGTCTGGTCAGCTGGCAATCAAGGTTCGCAGAAGTTGGTCAGTTTCCATCCTGACCTTGTCTCAGCTTCTTGGCAAGATGGTATAGGGATAGTTCCCTGGGTGTGCCTGCACTAACGTGCACTCCAGCGGACTCTAATCCCATTCCAGAAAAGGAAGATGAGCAATTTCCTCTGAATCATCCGTCTCCCAGCAGACGACCGACTGTCCCTCCAGTGGTGACTCTCCCCGGCTCTGTGGTGGGGTTGCAACTTCTGGGAGCCAGACAGAGTAACAGTGACAACAGACGTGAGTTTGTTCGTTTGAGGGGCCTTGATGGACTCTAGGCTGACGCAGGGCTGTTGGACAGCTTCAAATCTCCGCCACAACATCAATTGGCTGGAGCTGAAGGAAGCTTGCCTGGCCCTCCGACACTTCAAGGATTTGATTGTAGGACATCACGTGCTTCTCCTGACAGACAATGTAGCCATAAAAGCCCACATAAACCGCCAGGGGGGTACCCACTCCCGGGGTGTCTGGCTAAAGACCCTGAAGATTGGTTCATGGACAGAGAGACATTTGTGGTCACTGGTGTCAGAACACATATCGGGCACGTCCAACCACCAAGCGGACTGGCTGAGCCGAGCAACCCTCAACAATGACGAGTGGCAACTCCTACCCGAGTTATTCTAGAAGATTTGCCAGAGGTTCGGCACCCCGCGGGTGGACTTATTTGCTACCCTAGAAAACTCGCAACTGAACCGCAGAGGGCACAGACGCCCTCAGGAGCAGATGGCCACCAGGCCTCCTTTTTGCCTTTCCCCCTATCCCACTTATCCCGGGGACCCTCAGGAAGCTAGTGACAGAGAGGGCGCACGTCATCATGCTGGCCCCCTATTGGCCCAGGAGGCCCTGGTTTGTGGACCTCGTCCAGCTATCAGTCTCCCTTCCATGGAGGATTCCTTGGGAGGAGATTGTCTTATGCCAAGGGGTCCTGATCCACCTGGAGCCCTAGTGCCTCCACTTGACCCTTTGGCACTTGAGTGGCAATTCCTGAGGAACGCTAACCTGTCCTCCAAGGTTATAGCAACCATTGAGGCCTCCAGATGTCCATCGACCACTCGGATTTACAACTCCACTTGGTCGGCATTCATCAGGTCATGTAATCCACTAGGTATCAACCCTCGGTGGTCCACATACTACAGAAGGGTCTGGACAGTGGCCTCTCCCACAACACCCTATGCCACCAGGTGGCGGCTTTATCCTCTGTTCTTGGGGGGAGGGCCCTTCCACCCTATCTCACCTCCCTCTGATAAAATGATTCCTAAAAGGGGCGGCAAACCTCAGCCTATACATAGATTTCCCACCTGGGACCTGCCCCTTGCCCTCAAGACTCTGACGGGAGCTCTGTTTGAGCCCCTTTGAATGGTCCATCTTCGATTACTTTCCCTCAAGGTGGCCTTCCTAGTCGCAGTTACAGCAGCCAGACATATTTTGGAACTGGGTGCCCTGTCGTCCAGGGATGATTTCTGCCAATTCCATCAAGTTAGGGTGGTCCTTCGTCTGGACCCCACCTTTCTCCCAAAAGTGAACACTCCATTCCACAGGGCACAGGAGATCATTTTGCCTAATTTTTGTCCAGTCCCCTCCCATGAAAGGGAGCGTCTCTGGCATCAACTGGATGTCCGCTGCGCCTTGCGCATCTACCTCAGGCGGAAGGCGGGTATGCGCAGATCAGAGGCTCTCTTTGTCTCCTTTCAGCCCAGGTCTTTAGGTGCCAGGGTGTCCTCAGCCACCATTGGCAGGTGGCTGCGACAGGCCATAGTGACAGCTTATGAGGCATCTGGTCAGGCCCCTCCAGCAGGGATCACAGCCCATTCCACCTGAAGTGCCGCTACCACTGTGGCATGGGCTACCAGGGCCCCATTTGAGGACATTTGCTGGGCAGTCACTTGGTCGTCCCCGACCCCTTTTATCCGTCACTACCGTCTGGATGCATTCACCTCGGCGAAGGCGTCCTTTGGTCACAGGGTTCTACAACAGGTGCAGGGGTCCCCTCCCCCTGGGTCTTAAATCCCCCCCCCCCGGGACTAAGCTTGGGTATGTCCCATGCATAACCCCTCCATCGATTCTACTGGAAAAAGAACGTTGGTCTTATCTGAACATTTCTTTTCAGTAGAATAGAGGGAGGGGTTACGACCCACCCTAGTTAGTAGAGAGAGAGACACGGGGGAGGTCCGGGAGTTCCCCTGGTCTTTCTTGTGTTTTTACAGGTGCAGTCCATCGACATTGAGGAAACTGGGAGCCAATGGGAAAGGAGGAATATTAAAGAAATTTCCCTCAGTCTATGGACCAATCAGGCTGTGACAAAACCCATGCGTAACCACTCCCTCTATTCTACTGAAAAGACACATTCAGGTAAGACCGATGTTCTATTTCACATGTGGTTATATTTTTGCAGGGACGAGCTGCCTGCAGTGGAAAGAGCCTTCTCCATCCTCCCAATTTTCTTCCCAGACATATTACCATCCTAGATCTATCTTTCAATTCTCTGATGATGCCCAAGTATGGACCTTTTCTGAGAAGCTTTCCTTCCTTACATTCCCTAAATCTTTCCAGCAACAGCATTCCTACTCTTTCCCCCTCTCTGTTCTGTAATCTTGGTGCTCTTCGCCTTTTGGATCTAAGCAACTGTGACATTTCTCATGTGCACCGAATGAGCTTCCGAGGTTTGAAAAGCCTCCACTCTCTACATCTGAACAACAACAAACTTCAATCTCTGGACCTCTCCATTTTTCCTGCCTCTGGAATCCTTGCCCATCTGGATCTGCAAAACAATGAACTGCCCTGCAGGCATGAGCTTATACAATTAAATGTGCAAAGAATCCACCATATCAAACTTCAGGGGAACCCTTCAGTGTGCAGTGATTCCTTAAGTCCTTTCCAGCAAGCAGTGCCAGGAAAAGAAGGTGAGGCTGAATATTATTGCATGGCTGACTTTCCTGGTTGTGCACAGGACTTATTTTTGAGTCATGAAAAAACAATGATTGTGTGAATACATGCAACATCTGTGCATAACATGTTAAAAAGAACACAAGACCAATCTTATAAATGTTTGAATCTTTCCAGTTCCATGGTGGAGGGGGAACTACACAAACAACTGACATTTTGCTTAAAGACACTTTGCCAAGACACTAAGGCAAACTTGTCACTGATGGTTTATTGAATAATCAACAATTGAAGAGTTCACATGTCACTGTGATTTAAAAATTACTGCAGTTGAGGTTACATTTCATCCTAAAGCAAAAATAAATTATAGTATTATGTAATACATGAACTCAGTCCATATGTTCATGTATTATACGCTAACAGTTAAATAGTGGACTGGAATGCAAACATATCTGGAAAGCAATTTAAAATTAAAACAAGTGTATCTCAGCAGTCTATGTTTATGAATGAAAAAGTTTTCCTTACCTTTTAAAGTTTTGGAAAAGATTTTTTGTGTGTTTTATCAATGAAATGTAAGAATAAACATAAATCAAGATGTAGAGCAACAGAAACAAACAGTGAAGCTATTTCTTAAACAGATTGTCTATCATTTAAACATAGAACTCCAGATTCAAGAAATCAGAACTTCAGATTATGAGATTGTGAGCCACAGAAGAAAACTTCAGTTCCTTCATATTGGGGCTACGAAAAAGCCATCATCATTAGAAAATGCTAGTAAGTGAAGCAAAATACCTTCTAGAGTCAGAGTAACATCTCAGTTGTATGGTTTTTATTCCATGTGGCATTCTCCCCTCCAATCCCAAAGCTATCACAAATTGTTCCCTAGAAAACTTTTAGTTGAGATGAATTGGAGTCCTAGTCATCACAAGCCAAGATCCATTGCTGATCCAGGCCAACTGGGCCATTTGGCAGTGGGGAAGTTCTTACTTTGATAAAAGTGATGGGAGTCCTAAAACTATAATGAAAAGAAATATCACTTTTTCTCATCTTTCCCCCAAAGGTCCCTTTGAAGGGGAAAAAACAGTTTTTGTAAAATAGTTGCTTTGAAGAGAAAAAAGAAAAATTGGGAAATCCTGTTCAGATTTTTTTTTTTTTGTATTTAATACTATCTTTCTAAAGGTGTCTATTTAGCAGCTTTTTTATTGAGGTAATCAGCCCACCCTAAACCCACACAACACATACTCTCATGGATGCATACACAAAATGAAGGAGGAAAAAACTGATCAGAAATAATTCAGTCTTAAAATAATCTGAAAGATGATGCCCTAATCAATGAACTAACCCATACACTTTTGATTTTTGTTGCTGTTCCTGATTTCTTCTTTGACAAATTATTTCTAACATGTTTTACTGACTGTTATGTTAAACCAAGATTATATATGATTGTCAAATATAAAGAAAAAGCACAAGGTATTTCAGGGTCATTTTTACTAATGCCCACAACTCTTTAGATGAAATGGCTTTATTTTGAGTTGGCATTGGCCTATTTGGGTGTGGTACAACCTTGCTCCAAAGCATGGCTTTTAATATCACACTGAACTATTAACTGAAAGCATAGGCTGGACTTCTACCTAACGTTGGGCAAAAATGTGGTTTGGTATGTTTTGCGATCCCAACCATATCTGCTTTTCATTTTCCAGTCTGTATCTCAGTGTATTCCTGTACCTCAGGCTATACTGAAGAATTAAACAGACAGTAAACTATATAACTGGGTGTGCATTTTGACTGCTCTGCTCACTCCACAATAATATTTCATTTTCTAGAGAATGATGCTCATTGCAATCAAGAAGACAAGTGGTGTTTTATTTCTTAATAAAAGAAGGCAGGTCTTTCACAGAACTTTTCTTCTTTTTATTCCCTGTTTACATTTTGTACGGGGAGAATACTGAGGCAGTCCTATTCATATTTATTCAGAAGTACATTCTGTGGATTCTATTGGATTTACTTCTACATAAAAGTTTTCATAGGATTTTCAAGCTTGGAAATGCAACTAAAATAAAGTATTGCTCAGATCACCCACGGGGCATAAGGTGGAAAGTGGGAGCTAGTACCATGATGCAAATGCCACATTTCACATAATTGCATCTCATATGAGGACACAAGTAATGGTAGCATTTACATGATGGCATCACCATGTACAAGTTATCATTTTGGCATAATTGTGCTGCAGCTACCACAGGTCTTCCAGTACATTAATAGCTCTTGCATCTTATAACCTTTATTTTCTTTGCAGCAGCAGCTATTACCACACCTTCTACTCAAACAGCTGGGAAAAACTGGATCTACTTTGCTGGTTTTGTGCTTTTGGCTATCATCCTCTCTCTCCTGATTGCATTGATTGTCAAATGCAAATTGCTCCACAAAAAGCATGCCAGCTATCATCATCAACGGTTGCCCGATTCTCGCTCCATTGGAAGCAGCCATATTGAGGAAGGAGACATGGGCATGGCGTATGGGAGGAACCAACCAATAAGTGGAGCTTCTGAGTGCTATCCAGAGGATGATGATGGTTTCATAGAAGATAACTATATTGTGTCCAATCAAGAGTTGAAGGAGGAAGAGGAGGATCTGGAGTTGGAACCTCATTTCAAAGTTGGAAGATCCTTTTAGGAACAAAGTTCAGTTTGTTATGTGCTCCAGTTTGTGCATAAAGCCTATTTCATTTTCAAGGTTCCTGATACTTTCATTATAGTAGGAAACTGATAATGAGCCCATAGGTAAATTTGACTCTGGCCAAAAAGGTCAGCTGCACTCCTCCAATGGTTAGAGCTTAGTATGCTTTCCTGAATATTAGTCCAGTGGAGTTCTCTCTTACACACTCAACCCGTTCTCTTGCTTGTGCACATACATCCATATGGACGCATACTTGGTTCATTCTTTTGTACTTGTTTTTCTTGTACGCATACATCAACCACAGTTTTTTAGAGCTTACATTAGAACTGGTGGAGGTTTCGAAAGAATCTGTTTGGAGCATAGGAAATAATTTTTCAAATGAATTGCAGCATATGGCAAGAGCAGTTTGTCCTTCATGACCTTCCCCTAAAACTCCACATGTGCCTTGATTGTTCTTTAAAGGCTTAATTGCTCTGTGGGTTAGGGAAAAAACTATTTCCAAGCAGCTGGTGGGAGGGACTTTGCCCCTGGGCCGCATGAACCATCTTCCATAAATGCTAGGCATCTCATTGAAGAAGTTTCCTCAACCTTAGCACAGCTAGTGAGTGCTACCTGTGGGTGTGGGAAGCTTAAATGATTGCCACAAGAAGATACAAAAAAACCCCAACAACAAGAAAACCAGGTCTAAACTGATGTTGCTATAATAACAGTTTGAGATTCTCCTTTGTCCTGAAAATTCACTGATTAAAAGGAATTTGAAGCAAGTGCTTCATTGCTGTTAACTAAGTCTTTCTTTATTACAGTAGTTATTTACAGCATAATTGGGACCTCCTGACAATTGTAGTTTTACTTTTGTCCTTATGATACTGCCCTTGCTTTATATTAAGGACAATAATTATACTATCTGTCTTGGTGTTGTCTATAAAGGGAGTCCTCAACTTACAACCATTCATTTAGTGAGCATTCAAAATTACAATGGCACTGAGCAAAAATGACTTATGTTCCTCGCTTTTATGACTGTCACAGCATCCCCACAATCATACAATCAAAATTCAGGTATGTGGCAATCCGCACATATTTTTAATGGCTGCAGCATCCCAGGGTCATGTGATCTCCATTATCAACCTTTCCCAATCAGCTTCTGCCAAGTGAAGTCAATGGGAGAGGCCAGATTCATTTAATGACAGCATGTTTCACTTAATTGCACTGATATGTTTAAGGACCATGGCAAGCAAGGTTCTAAAATTGGGTATGACTCATCTAACAATCGCCTTGCTTGGAAATTCTGGCCTCAATTGTGGTTGTACGTCGAGAACTAGCTGCACCACAAAATATCCACCTTGCAAAAAACCAAGGAGAGCAAACAGAGTTAGGATCAGGGGTGAAATTCAGCAGGTTCTGACAGGTTCTGGAGAACTAGTAGTGGAAATTTTGAGTAGTTTGGAGAACGAGCAAATGCCACCTCTGGCTGGCCCCAGGAGTGGGGAGGGAATGGGGATTTTTGCAGTATCCTTCCCCTGCCACGCCCACAGAACTGGTAGTAAAAAAAAAATCACCACTGGTTCGGATGCTCATGACAGCATCATTCAGATACTGTGCTATGCTGACAATTACTACAACTAAAGTGTACAAGTGTTATTGCTTGACAATATACAGAAAAAAGAAAAATTCCCCTGGTTCAGTGGTGGTGTCCTACCAGTTCGGACCTGTTCAGCTGAACCAGTAGTAACTTGGCAGCTTGGGTGCTGCAACCGGCAGTGACCCAGGCATGCCACACCCCCAAACCAGTTCTCCCTTGCGCATGCCCCCAAACCAGTTCTCATCTTGTTTTTTGCTTCTGCGCATGTGCAGGGCAATTTTAGTTGCACTGCACATACGTGCACAGAGAGAACCGGCAGTAGTCTCTGCCAGAACCCACCCCTGCCCTGGTTGCCACTGTTGGTCACGTTAGAATATTGTAGTAGACATTAAACAACAACAAAAATGATGCAACTACAAGAAGACCAAGTATCTAATAGCCTAAAATCACTAGGTTTGTCTTCTGTGGATTGAGATGGAGGTGGTTTTATTGTCTTGTTATCTAATCATATTGCAAAGTGATAGTAACTGATAGTAGATTTGCTTGGTGTGTAGAGAGCGTGGGAATTCTGCAACATTCACTGTACATTCTCTTGTATGCAATATATATGTCTGAGTAAATTTTCCCATGCCTAGTTGGTAAGATCTAATTAAGCATCACCAATTTCTGTATGATGAAAAATCTGATAAAATGGATTTGTACAAAAAACTGCAGTATCTTTCTCATTAGTACCTCAGCTAATTTCTTTGTAGATCCAATGAAACATCCTTTTATAAGCCATTCTCTTGTCCTGTCAATTATAAATCCATTTTCAATACCATTTTTATCGTCAGATAAAATTTGTTCTACATCTTTCATTTTTTAAATAACATCTTTTAAAAAGTCTATCCATAGAGGTAAATATCTTTACTGACATTATTGATATTGCTGCTATTATTTCAGTATGATTATGTTTTGCAAAATTTTGTAGGCTTGTTAATCTTTCCTCTTTTGTTCCCTCTAGTGTCCAGTTTTTGAACTCATGAAATTGCTCATCTATGTGCGTTTATTTCAGATACTTTAAATTGTTATTTTTTATTATATTTATTGTTCGTGGTGGCCTAGTGATGAAGACATTCGCCTCCACCTTGGAAGGTTTGAGAGTTCAATCCTAGCAGGTTTTTCTCTTAGAGCGCAAAGAAAAAATATCTGGTATGGCATCAGGAAGGGAATCGGGTCAGTAACGCTCAGTTCCATCTAATTGCACCGAATCTACCTGAATTAAGGGATTATAGGGATGTTTATTATTTATTATTTACTAAATTTGTTTGTTACCCATCTTACCACAAGGAGACTATGGGTGGCTTACAATATTAAATTCTGAAGGTTATGATTACAATTTTCTTTTGTTTGGGTCTGAAGATACACTCATCAGCATTTTCCAACTTGTCATTTTGAAAGTCTCTTAACAGTTTAAAATAATTAAGGACCAATTCCTGAAAGTGAGAAAGTGAGGTTTGAGAATTTAGTATCTCTTATGGTTGTGAAAAAAAATGGCTAATCCCATTATCTCCTGGCACTCATCCCAAAGGTAAGGTGACCAGACGTCCCGATTTTGGCGGGAGAGTCATGATTTCTAACAATTTGTCCCATGTACCGGGGCGCTTTAAAAAAGTCCCGATTTTCTGGCTTCATGTTGAAGGCCCAGTGGATTTGCTTAAGAAATCGTAACCGGGGCAAGACAAAAGACACTCTAACTAACCTCTCTCTCTGTCTCAGTACTTTCATTGAAGATATAATTAAAACGTTAAAGCAAGAAAACGGACACACACACACGCCCTTTTTCCTCATTTTATAAGAAAAATTGACCCAGTACCATAGAGCTCCAGGAAATACATTGGCTAGAGAAATCGCGAGTGTTCCTTCCTGGATTTTCCGGAGGTGAGGGGCACGGAGGTTAAGTGAATAACTGCAGCTGGTATTTTGTATTTTGTATAGAATATTTTTTTAAATAGACTAAGACAAGTTTAAAAAAGAATCCACACAGAATAAATTGAAGTAAAACATTTCAAA